TATTATAAGCTCTGAACCATGATTAACATCTGTTAATTCTTGGTGCTGGTTGTTAAGTATATCAAATATACTACTTTCCATAAGTTATAGTTAAAATAGAAGGTGATGATAACGAATACTAAAGAGGGATAAGGAGGTCTATTCTTGGTCTGACTCACAAGAGAGGATTTGATTCATCCTTGTGCTTGTTCCTCTAAAAGACACGTTTATGGATGCAATATATGCCTCTTTACGAAGATACATAGATAGATGTCTTCTCCTTTTCCCCTTTCCAATTGGAAAGATTTTAATTTTGAAGACAAAATGACCTGGTTGACTTTAACACACACACACACACACATGCCCAACAGTCAAAATGCACAGAGGAAGTAAGTTCCTGATGGGCACCACAGTCCCCTTCCTGTGGTGGAGTGTGCTGGGGTCCCCCCCTCCTCCTGGCCAGCACACAGGAATTCCGATAGGCTGTTTTTCACCAGAGCCGATGAGCGCACATCTTTCTACAACATATGACTCTAGGGGGGGAAACCTAGTTCTAAATGGTCAGGGTACATTCCTCACATTGGCATCAGGCCCCACCCTACAGTGGGACAGTGATGGGGATCTCCTGCTTAGGAGCAAGTCAGTAAAAGGGGCAGAGTGATTAGAGCGGGAACAACTGTCCACATTGCTCACTCTGGAATCAGAATGAGGGCAGAAGGAATGTCAAGACAGCTTGAAGGGCCCAACTGAAGTTGGGAGAAAATGGAGGGAGAGGTCTTTCCATCAGGGTTAGATAGTTTCTCCCAGACAGAATCCAGTGCCTGTGGTCCTCCTTCAGATCCTCCTCAGTCTTTTGAAGTCACCTTTAGGGAGTAAGTGGGGAAAAACTCATTTCCTAATCACTCACTCACACACACACACACACAAAGTGGTCACCAAATTTTTTTTTTCCTCACAGCAAGCAATTCTCCACTTTTCAGCAGATGCCACTGGGTATCTTACATTTTAATTCAATTCTGATGCTATCTACTCAAAATAGTGTCAGATCCTATAGTTCTGCTAATTCAGACACCAACTACACGTATAGGTGGTTCCCTGTGCTTCCGACCAACCTGCTAAATCCCACAAACTCTTCCTCAGGTTTGATAACTTGCAAGTTATCACTGTATGGGGGAAAATCACATAACTATGATTACCCACTAGCCCAAAATTACTAAGAAGCCTACATACTCCTTTTCCGTTTTTTTTTTTTTTTTTCCTGTGGTGCTGGGGATTGAACCCAGAGCCTTATATAGGTGAGGCCAGCACTCTATCAACTGAGCTACATCTCCAGCCCTCCCCTTTCTCCATAGGGAGGAGGGAGAATAAGTAATGTTAGGAGGACAGTAAATGATTTTTAGGGAACTCAATGGGCTTAGAAAACATACAATGCCCTGGAACAAAATCTGTTTAGTCTGTAGAATGGAAAATTAATTGTCCACTGGACTAAAATAAAGGACAATGCTGTGTGACAAAAGTCATTCTTTTTTCCTGTGATGTGAGTTTTGTTAATGAAAACTCAAAAGGGATAGATATAAGTAATTGTTTCTTCTTTGGAAGATCTGGACTTTAGGCAGGTAAGGGACCTTTGCAGAAAGCCTCCATGCACACTGGGACATGGAGAACCAAGGGATGGACAAAGGGACCAGGATTCTGAGGTAGTTTCCAACACTGTCATCATGACAAAGCACTAGTGTTCAGGGTATTGTTCCCAATTCATATTCAGGTTTTTGGATATGTACCTAGGAGTGGAAATTGCTGGATAACAAGGTGATTTATTTATTTATTTATTTATTGTGGTACTGGGGATTAAATTCATGGCTTTGCATGAATCATAATGTACTTCTGTTTAGCTTTTTGAAAAATTATCAAACATTTTCCCATAGAGTCTGTAACATTTTATAGTCCCACCTGTAACACAAGAAGATTCCAATTTTCTACATTCTTTCCAACACTTGTTTATCTTTTTGATGACTATGTATTTTAATCACATAAATTCACTGCAGTTTATAGTTTCAGTTCTTATTTAATTGGACATTTGATTGATTGCCTACATTTTCCCTCTGTAATTATAAATATGGCTCACTGTTGTGAAATAGGAAAAAAAACCCAACACTTTGGTTTTTCCTGTTTCTCACTCAACAATTAATACCTTTGACACAGATATGTGGGGGTTTTTCCCCCATACAACAAACAATCATTTCTATAGCAGATTCTGTAGCAGACACATGCTGGGTGTCTTCTAATTCCATTCTAACATTTCTACCTGGAGACAATGTCAGATCCCAGGTTTAGGACCCAGTCCTATAAGACTGTCTCTAACTTCCAATGTCAATCACAAGCCCCAAGTTGTTTTACCTGTGCATATGACCAACTGCCTATAAAACGGGATTCTCAAGGCCCCTTCCTTGGGAAGCTTCAATTGATTTGCTAGAGTAGCTCACACATCTCAGGGAAATCCTTACTTTTACTGGTTTATTAGTAAAGGATATAATGAAGAATATAAATGAACAGATGGAAGAGGTGCATAGGGCAAGGTATCTGGGAAGGGACACAGAGATTCAGTGCCTTCTTTGGACACGCCACCCTTAGGAACCTCCACAGGTTCAGCTATCCACAAGCTCCCTGAACCCGGTCCTTTCAGGATTTTATAGAAGTTTTATTACATAGACATGACTGATTGCATCTATTGGCCACTGATGATCAGTTTAACTTTCAGCTCCTCACATCCTGAAGGTTGTGGGGAGCAGAAAGACTTAACCTCTCCCCCCTTTTTTTGGCACTAGGGATGGAACCCAGGGGCGCTTTTCCAGAGTTTTATTTTTTAAGACACAGTTTCATTAAGTTAGTTGTCCGGTCTGGCCTTGAACTTGGGATCCTACCTCAATCTCCTGAGTCTCCAGGATTGCAGGTGTGAGCCACCATGTCTGGCTGAAAGTCCCAATTCCCTAAATTATGCCTTGTTTTTTCTGGTGACCAGCTCCTACTGTGAAGCTACCTAACTCCTCAGCCACCAATATTTTCATTAGCAAATAAGACACACAATTCACAATATCACAGGCTCTTCATAAATTTTTGCAACAAAGATTTTTTTTCTTTCAGATTTTTTCCTGAAAGTATATTCTTCCAGAGTGGGATTACTAGGTCAATGAGCATGAATAGCAATTGTGGGTGCCAGCAGTATGTTGCTTTACTCTCTCATAGTTCAACTGACTTTAACAAAAGTTTACTGAGGGCTTATTGAGTAGATTCAGGAGTGTACACATGTGGATTTTTTTTCTTTTTAAGAGTTTGTTTTGAGAATCCTAAGACTCTTTTCTTTAATTGTATTTTTTAGTTTTTTAGATGGACACAATATCTTTATTTTACATTTATGTGGTGTGAGGATCGAACCGATTGCCTTGTGCATGCTAGGTGAGCACTCTACCATTAAGCCACAACCCCAGCCCCACATGTGGATTTCACCCTTAAGGTACTTACATTCCAGTAAGCCAGATGAGAAAATAGATAATTTTATAATTTATAGATCTGCTGTGGAAATACAGAATAATGAAATTGACTCTAGTGGGGAGAGGTAGATGTGGGCTGGGAACTAGGACACAGATTTCTTAAGAAATGAAACTGAGCTGGGTATGGTGGTACATGCCTATAATCCCAGCTATTCTGGAGGCATGCAGATCTCAGATTGAGGTCAGCCATGGCAAGTTAGCCAGACTCAGCTTCAAAAAAAAAAAAAGGTTGGCAGGTTCAGTTCCTATGCCCTCACCCCCCAACAAATCTGGAAGGTTGAGGAGTTCATTGAGCATGAACAAATGAATAGAAGGTTTGCATATTTAGTTAGAGTAGCTTGGGGATTTACAAATAATCCAATATTCCTGGGAGATCAAGTGTGTGTGTGTGTGTAGAGGTCAGAGGGAACAATAAGTACAATGGTAAGTGATTCTGGGCAGGTGATGTAAGAGTTGCCTTGACTAGGGCACAATACATGTATGGTAGAGGTGCTAGGATTGAATCCAGGGCCTCAGGCATGCTAGTCAACAACTCCAGCATTCAGCAACACCTCACACTCCTGTAATCTGAATTTTAATTTCCTAATTTACAAAATGGAGAAAATACCTCCCACTTCACAGTGTTGTTAAGGGATCAGTGATTATATATGTCAAAACCTCCGCATATAAGGCACTCAATAAAAGTAGCAACAATTACTACTATTTACTATTTTAAAATTTACTTTTATTAGAGACACACTAGCCATTGATCTCGTGTTCTTCCTACAATTAACTGGGCTCCAGTTTTCTAAAAACACTTCTTGCAAACGCATGTCAAATCCCGTTGAGACTGTTAACACTGATTTTATCTGGGTGGAAAACAATAGCAATCTGAATTAACAGATCAAGCGGAAGCAACTCTGATAAAACGGCTTTTCAAGTCCTTTGACAGACCGTAACTCAGCCTTCCCTACATCAAACCGTGTTCATTGAGCTTCTACTGCACGCAGCGCATCATAACAGGAGATGTGATGGAAGCGAGCTTTGGCACCGATCTTTCTTTGCTCTTTTACTTCAACGCAGCGAGCGAACTACACCCTCTTTCCTCCACTGGCTCGCATGCACTTCCCCTTCCCCTAGGACTAAGAGGGTTTCCAGATATCCACCCAGGTGCGCACCCAAAATACGCGCGCCTCCCGAAGTGACAAGAACAAGGTCCGCTGGGAAGTTGACCTTTCACCTCCCCTCCTGATTTACCTCAGCTCACCAATTTTGACGCTAGCAAATGAAACGACGAGGAGAGCTGGAAGGCGGGACTTAGTGTTGCCTGATCGACACTGATTGGGCCGAGACGGCGTTATGGGGCGGGCCACGCGAGCGGGCAGCGCCCCTTCTCCGGTGGGCGGGGAGAAGCAAGGGCCGCGCGTGCGTGTTAGGGCGGCGGAAGTGGCCGAGGCGGCTACGCGTGCGCGGTGGGCGGAGCGCGGCTCTTCTACCTTCTTTCCCAGCCCAGTCTTTCCTAGTCCTGCCCAGCCGCTTTGGTGCTCGTGTTTCACCGTCTCGTCGCGGAGAGTCGCTGCGCTGGGTTTTCGGGTCGCCATGGCCGGCTACGAATACGTGAGCCCGGAGCAGCTGGCTGGCTTTGATAAATACAAGGTAGCGTGGGCCGGCGGACGCCCCTCTCCCTCGCTGTGGCCGCGCCCAGGCAGCTGAGGGGCTGGCGAGGTCCGTGTCACCTTGTGCCGCGTGGCTCGGGGCGCGCTGGCGGGCGTTACTGCCGGGTCCTGTGAGTCCCGGCGCCGGGGTCGGGGAGCGTGGGAGCATCTTAAGCTCGCTGCCCTGACACGGCGCCCTCCCCGGAGATTTTCTTTTCCTTAGAAGAGCGCTCAACTGTAGTGGAGCGACAGTTATCAATTTTTAATAATAATAATTATGACATTATTATTTTAAGCCCCCAGAAAGGATTCTGTTTCCTTCTGTGTTGGAATTGTCTTCGTTTGAATGAACTTTCTACCTGCCTTTCTTGCATACAACTTCAGAGATGGAGATGATCATCTCTTGGATGAGGCCCCGGGAGGGGGAGTGACTGACCGAGGCCTTACTGTGGGTGCATTCCACTTCTGCTCCCAGGAAAGAGGCTTCCTCAGTGGTGGCTTGTGGCGGTGGGGCTGCCAGATGAAATAGATGTGCACAGGAAGGATTGTATAGTGGAAAGAACGCTGCTTTCGAATACATGTAAACCTGAAGTCAGAGTTTCTTTATTTGGTCCTGGACAAGTCATTTTAACCACACTCAGCCCTCTCTTTTTTTGCTAGTAAACAGGGAATAATAGTTCCTACTCTGCAAAGTGATTATAAGGATTTGAGAAGTGCCTGGCACATAATGAGCGCCCAGTAAATTCTGGCTGTTAAGCTTTTTTCGAAATCTAGTTCCTCTGTATCAATGAATGACTTTGCTAACCTTTTGCCCAAACCTGGAATAAGAGTTTTAACCTTTCATCCTTGTTACATGTTTATCGTCACAGCTTTAAATGTTACTTCCTCAGATAAGCCTTCCTGAAGCGCCCCTTTTCTCCTTGAATGTTCTGTTTTGGAATTACTCTTTAGTGTGTCTCTTCATTAGAATGTAATGCCCGAGTAATGAGACTTATTTTGTGGACCACCATGGCCTGAGCACAGTGCTACTCGAGTACTAGGCACCTAATAAATAAACATCTGTGGAATGGATGGATTACTGGAAAAATCATAATGGATTTTGTTTAACTGGGATAGAAAAAACTGTAAAGGGCTGTAGAAAGCCATCCAGTTAATGTTTCTTTGCTTTTGAGCAATATTGTGCTACACCATTTTGAACTGAGGTGATGACTTGTCTTAAAATTTTAAGTGGGAAGAGGTTCCAGAGCTGCCTTGGTAACTCAGGGCAGGGTTTTACAACTTTCATTTCAGAAGACTATTTAACCTAGATACCTCTGTTTTGCTTTAAGCTCTACCCCCTTTTTGTTATCTGCTCTGCATTGTAAATATTGACATGTAAAATATTTTTTTCCTTACTGACTTTCAGAATAATAAAGATAGCTGTTTTATTTGGAACACTAAGAGGGAATTTCCCTTTTCCTTTCTTATAAGCAATCTTCTCTAGATATATTTTTTCAGCTAGACAGATGCCCTAATTTACCAGTGTAAGTTTTTTGTTCCTATCTCTTTCCCTGTTCTCATATTTTACTCAGTTCCTGTGTCTGACAGCAGATTTCCTATGTCCCAGAAAACAAAGGTCAATTTAGCAAGTGTCCAATGTTCACTAAAATACAATTTGTTGATGTTATTTTAGTTACAGTGAGGCTTCCTTGGAAAAAAAAAGAGCACAAATTTATAACCTATTCTTCTAGTAAGGGGTTTTGTACTCAGTACTATATTTATATTAAAAATATGAATCCAAGGGTGTCCAAAGGAAGAATATGTGTGGTCAGTTTTGCTGGAATGTGAATTGCACACAGAGATCTTTTCTTTCTGTCATTGCATTCCATTGTGTGGTCTTCAGATAGTAAGTGCTTTATAAGCTCATTGAATTAAAACATTCTTTTCCCCACCACAAATGGTAAAGAGTCAAAACACTCAAAAGAGATTTTAATTCCCTGGTGTGACCCTTCATAATAAAGCAAAGAGATGTAGAGAAAAATTAATACTATAAAAGCAGCTGTGGAAAAATTACTTTTGAACCAGTTTAATTTCTTTATCTTCCCTAGAGGTACACCTGAGAGCTACAGTTGGAAAGCTGGCAGTTACATTGAATAGCTACTGAAAGGAATGCACACACAGGAGGGTAATTAGGTTTCCCTAGTAAGAAACTGCAAGGTAATTGATTTTTAGTACAGAAGAAAGCATGGCATGAATTCTATGTTACATCCCTCTTAACATTTGTATTCTCCATTGTGGTACTTAATACAATTCTTTTAAACAGGCTGAATCATTAGTTAATTGTCTGCTTTCTCTTTTAGAACATGAGCTCTAGGAGGGCAGGCTGATAGTTGTCTTGTTCAGAATAATCAAGGTCTAAGCCCAGTAATGTGAACAGAAGAGGTACTTAATAAATATTGAAGAAATGAAAATGGAAAAGAATACCATTTTGGAAGTATGTAAAAGGAGCTGTACAGCTGGATATTAAAAGGATACTCTTGCATTTTGACAGTGAAGATGTCAGCCACATCTACCAGTGTTCTTTGTTGCTTAATAACGTAACTTCAGATAATCATGCTCATCATGAGACCTACCATTCCTCCCCTCCCCCATCTTTTCTTTTGGATGGGTCTTTGTAGTTGAGGGATTTTTCCCACTTATTTTAAAGGTGAAATTGCTCTTGTGGTTTGCACATTTGATCTAGGGAAGGCATAATTTTGATAGTGTAGCAGCTAGTTTCAAGTTGTATCATTTTGCTTCAGAGAGGAAGTATTTGGTGAAATAACCTTGTTTGGTTTCAAGAATATAATAATGAATTGGTTTCTGCTATTTCAGTAATTACTTTGGCTGTCAGTAATCATCTAATTACAGGAATTGTGATAATTGTGAATTTATTAGTATTAAGTTAAGAGGTTGTAAAGAGACTCCACATCTTAATGGCAATCCTGAAGAACCAGAATCCAATCTGGCCTTCAGCCTTCCTTGTTTTTTATTTTGTTTATTCAGCAAGCATTTATGGAGGGACCACTGTATGAGACATGGCATTGGGGCTGCAAAGTTAAGCTAAACTGAAATTCCTGACTTTAGAGAACCTAATTTGGTGGCATATGGACATGTAAATAAATAGTTATTATTTTAAATAGTAAGTGCAGTCAGTAAGTGCTGGGTGCTATGGAAGAAGAGAGGATGCCGCTTCCAGGGAGTAGGGATGAGAGTGAGGGTGTGTGCTGAGAGAGATTTCTGAGGGGAAGGAGGTGGCAGAGCTTAGTATAGAAATTTGAAGGCTAAGTATTACCATGGGAAAGGGAGAAAAGACATCACAGGTGATCAATGGACTATAAAGAGATGGCAGGCCTTGAGAGAGTATATTCTGGGAACTACAAGAAATTAGAAAAGGTTTTTAGGCAAAATGGTGGAGTGGCAGAAGGTAAGACTGAAGAGGGAAGAGGGGTCCTGGCAGAAGTGGATGAGTTTTTTTTAAAAAAAATTGTTCTAATTAGTTGCACATGACAGCAGAATGCATTTCAATTCATAGTACACATATAGAGCACAATTTTTCGTGTCTCTGGTTGTATACAAAGTAGAGTCACACCATTCATGTCTTTATACATGTACTTAGGGTAATGATGGCCATCTCATTCCACCATCTTTCTTTTAAAAAATATTTATTTATTTTTGCCTTACAATTCTTAGCCACCATCTTTCTTATCCCCATGCCCCCTCACTTCCCCTCCCTCCCCTTTGCCCTATCTAAAGTTTCTCCCTCCCCTGCTCCCTTCTGCCCCCCCCCCCCCATTATGGATCAGCATCCATATATCAGAGAAAACATTCAGCCTTTGATTTTTGGGAATTGGCTTACTTCCCTTAGCATGATATTCTCCAACTCCATCTGTTTACCTGCAAATGCCATGATTTTATTCTCTTTTAATGCTGAATAATATTCCATTGTGTATATATACCACAGTTTCTTTATCTATTCATCTATTGAAGGGCATCTAGGTTGGTTCCATAGTTAGTTCCATAGTTTTTTTTGCTGCTATAAACATTGATGGGGCTGCCTCACTATAGTAAGTCCTTTGGGTATAAACTTAGGAGTGGGATAACTGGGTCAAATGGTGGTTCTGTTTCAGGTTTTCTGAGGAATCTCCATACTGCTTTCCATAATGGTTGCACCAGTTTGCAGTCCCACCAGCAATGTATAAGTGTGCCTTTTCCCCCATATCCTTGTCAGCATTTATTGTTGTTTGTATGCTTTTTTAAAATATTTTTTTAAGTCGTTGATAGACCTTTATTTATTTATATGTGGTGTTGAGAATTGAACCCAGTGCTTCACATATGCCAGGCAAGTGCGCCACTGCTGAGCCCCAGCCCCAGCCCTGTTGTTTGTATTCTTAATAGCTGCCATTCTGACTGGAGTGAGATGAGATCTTAGAGTAGTTTTGATTTGCATTTCTCTAACTGCTAGAGATGTTGAACATTTTTCATATATTTGTTGATTGATTGCATATCATCTTATGAGAAGTATCTGTTCACTTCCTTGGCCCATTTATTGATTGGGTTATTTGGTTTTTTTTTTGGTGTTAAGTATTTTGAATTCTTTATATATCCTAGAGATGAATGCTGTATCTGATGTGTGTGTGGTAAAGATTTTCTCCCATTCTGTAGGCTCTATCTTTGCCTCACTGATTGTTTCTTTTGCTGAGCAGAAGCTTTTCAGTTTGAATCCATCCTATTTGACAGATTTTATTTCTTTCGCTATAGGAGTTTTATTAAGGAAGTCGGATTCTAATCCGACATGATGAAGATTTGGGCCTACTTTTCTTCTATTAGGAGCAGAGTCTCTGATCTAATTTCTAGATCCTTGATCCACTTTGAGTTGAGTTTTGTGCATGGTGAGAGATAGGAGCTTAAGAGGTAGGAGTGATCTGAAGACCTTTAGGATGCTCCTGTATTGAAACTGTATTGAAACTGTTGAAGGCCTGC